GCTAGCATGCTACAACATATTATGTTGTTTAACAATCAAATAAGTCACGCGGCGCTTAACTCAGCTCAGGTGGAAGCACCACAGCACAAACGCAACAACGGCGATGGCAGCAACAAGAATCACAACATCAAAGCAAAATGACATTCACGCTGACGAAGCCTGAATGCTCTTCCCAAGTTCCTATTATAACTAACTAATGTCTGCATATGCCAAGTCATATGCAAATATACAGGGTGCAATTGTAGATACATTAAAACAATTTACTGCATGGATTCAGATTTATGTTAAATTTTTAATATTTATTATTAATTTATTTGTTATTTTTATAGAATTATGTATACATTTTAATTAAAAAGTTTTTTATTCACTTTATAAGCAGTAAACATTTTATTTCATTTTTAATGTTTGTCTGTAAAATAAAAAAAAGGAGAAATAAAATACTTTGAACGAAGTTTATACATTTAAATCAAAATAAGCTGCTGGAAAGAACTTTTTAAACACATTATTTTAAAATTAAAACAAGTTCCATTTTAAGTGATTAATTCTAAAAAAAAAAAGATTAAAAACAAATAAAATTGTTTACAATATTGCGCTTTATTTAAAATCCATTATCGTTGCCATTACATATTTTATTTTTATTTAACATTTGCTTACCACTCAGTTAAGCTGAGTGCTCCAGAAAGTTATCATGCCGCATGCCACATAAATGTGGAACAGGCAACACCGTCAAGTTCTGCACGAAAGGTTTTAGCTACCTTTTAGCGCGGACCTGTAGTGTCCGTCCGACGTCGACGTCTGTTGAATTCAGCCTTGCCCCCTCCCTTGTCCGTCGTCTGTCGTCCGTCGTTCGTCGTCCGTTGTCTCTGCAATGTGTGGCTTATTGTATAAGCGCGTCCGTCCGAATCTGCGCGTCCAATGTGGGCGTTTTATGTGGCCGTGTCCCTAAGTTGTTGCTGTTGCTGTTTCCCGATGTTGTGGTGTTGCTTGTCTGTTTGGCTACCTTGGCTGATTGTAGTGATTCTTGGTGCGCATATGCCCAGCACCCAACTCGTGCCTTGTGCTTTGGCCTGTCGCCTGTGCCATGAGCCGTGTAAACATTGGCGCGTGCCTGACTGGCAACAACAAAAACAACAACAATACAACACCTTAATGTGTGCGCCTGCCTGGAACTGATTCTAATCGCTTGGAGTATGGTGTTAATGTTGATGTTTCAATTAATTTTTATTAGTTCAACTCGTTATGCGCATGGCTGCAGCTTCCGCTATCCCACCTTATGAAAAATGATGAGTCGCAAGTGATGTGGATAGTGGCTGGTTGCCCTTTCAATGTATTCTCAACGGACAGCTCAATCAACTAACAAGCTAAAGCCATAAGCTTAGTATTGGCCCCCCTTTTCAATATCAGCCATATGTACATGACCTATCGAGGATCCATCAATTTGCATATTGCAGCAGCTCAGCTATCGGCAGCGCACCTATAAATCCTTTGCTTGGCTCTTTTGCACGCCGTAAATAACCGGCCCGGAAGGCAGACAAGGCCGTGTGGTCCAAGCGTTGGCCCAAACACAGGACGAAAACGTCGCCGCCAATCATTTATCAAAAATATTATCAATCAGTCAATAGATGAAATGGCTTGATGAATGTCCAACAAGCAGCCAGTCGGGCAGTCACCCAGTCAGGCAGTCAGGCCGGAGGGGAGAAGGTTCTTTAGATTGGGCGTCTGTGTTGACAGGCCAGGCGCCTGCACGTTGGGAACAGTGGACAGTGGGAGTGCCTGTTACTGGTCAACAGCAAATACATACATACACACACAAGTCGAGCCACAAGAACAACGAGCCAGCCGCCTGCATTTGATTGATTTCAGAAAATGAAGAAAAATCGTGTCGAAACGCCAAGACAAAGTGAACAGCGGCCAGTACGAAAACTGAAATTGCACATTGGTATTCCAATGTATGGTGTGTGTGAGTGTGTGGATGTGTGGGTGTGTGTGTGTGCGTGCTTGCGATATGTATTGCTTTGCTGTGTGAAAAGCACTTACCTCTCTTTTATTCCCTACACTTTTTAGCCATGAATTGAACGTGAGGGCTTCTAAATTCAATTTCGGTCGGAATATGAAACCTCAAAGCGTAGATGATGTAAACATTCCATACATACAGAGCAGCTGAATTAAAGCTGGAACATAAAAGGATGCATCCTTCAAAATATGTTAAATCTGTGCCGTTTGCTAGGAAATAAGCCCAGTAGACATATGTTTCATCTACGTGTCCAATAAAAGCAACGTTTTTTAATCTGTAAAAATGTACCAGAAGGGATTAACAAAGAGTCAAATAGTAAGTAGTAAATATTGTTTAAACAGGTGCAAAGAAGATACGTGCATATGTACAACTTTTAAAATAAAACAAATCTGATATGTGCCTTTGGAAGCCTTCCAAAGTACTTAGTCTGCATATTAAACTATTTTGTACCAAATTAAAATTTGGTCTGTAACCATGCACCAATTGAAAACTTCTAACAAAGTTCATTCAAGTTCTCCAAACATGTGATGTATGGAGTACATTAATTATATTCTTGATCTGGGTTAGGATGATTTGAGAACTTCCCAATGTCCCTATGAATATCGCCTCGTGCGCGAATATCAATGTATATTTTAGAAGAGTTCGAACTGAATTGAAATATTCATTGTATAAAATATGCGCTTATTCTATGATATATGCACACATTTTATTTATTTATAATAATTAGGGAGTGATCGGACTATAAACACCGAAGTAATTGAAAAAAGTATAGACTAATGATCTAGATCAGAGGAAAGAAGAAATAAAGAGTACATTCATGTATGTTTTTGTGTATGCATGTATATAGAGATATAAGTACAAGTATAAGGGTTTTGGAAGTCGATTACTCTATACTATACTTCATTTTAACACGCCCATGGAAGTTGTACTTTAATTAAAATAGAAAAAAAGAGTCCACAGTTAGCAAAACCATAATTAAGCTCATGTTCTCAATAAAGTTAGGCGCTTAGACCTTTGCAGCTGCTTTTGTTAGGAGCAAACATGCAATTGGCTTTGTTTAGATGTTATTCTTATCTAACTTACAGAGCATTTCTGTGTCGATCAATATAGGCCCGACGCCTAATTAATTGTGCTCTCTTAGTTGAATTTTGCTTTTGCTGACGGCCAGAAGCAATTGAGGCTTCGATGTACTTGAGCCTTGGGAGAGCAATTTTCGAAGATATCATTTGGAGCATGGGCGAGGCGGCAGGTTCATCAGAAAGCGATTAACAGTGGCCAGGCAGAGCAACAATGCAAATTTGATTATTTCTACTAGGAGTCCCTCACACGCACGTCAACAAATACAACCACACACACGCACACAAAGACGCACATGCAACATACATGCGGGCAACATTTGTTCTATTGTTTTGCAGTATTGTTTTTTTTGCGGACTTATTCAATTTGCTCTGCAACATGTCAAAAAGTTTTGCGCAGCAAATGAAAAATGTGCAGCAAAAGTGCAAAACGCAGCAAACATGCTACGAAAATTACAAATTTTTTTCTGTGTGTGCGTGTGGTTGTGTGCGCGTGTGTGTGTGTGTGTATTTGTGAGCCGTTTTTGTTAGTTTGTCTGTGGCTTGTTGTTGTCTCTGGTGTTGTCAAAAAGTATGCCAACGCCGGGGCCAGAATGATAGAGTGACAGTGACTGCCATCCGGGGTGGTGGATTGTGACTGGCAACTGTACCGACCATCCATGGTGTAAGGGGTCAATGGAGATATGCTCCCCGCACTCGTTACCCGTCACTCCACGGCTCCCGTTCTCACTCTACATTTGACAAGTGGAGTGTGCGGCCAAATGCCTTTTAGTACCTCTTTCATCTGCAAATATTTGTGTTATTAGAATTTTTAAGCCAGCTCGCTGAAACGTTTTTGCCAGCGCAAAAACTATACATACATATATAAGTAGAAGGGTGATGTTCTTCAATTTGCATTCAACCGAAATTCACCAACACTAATTGAATTGATTAACTCCATTTTTAAGTCACATATTATAATGTTTTATTATTGTAAAAAAAAAACTCCTTTAAATCGTGAGTTTTGTGTGTTTGTGATTTTCGAAACACCCTTGGCTTGCCAACGCTGTTTATGTAGCATATTCTCCTGCGCAAACAGGCACAGAATTTGTGTGTGTTCGTGTCTGGTTCGGGGCCGCTGTCAACGAAAATGTTTTGAAATTGTTTCGAGGCGTTTTGTAGTTGTTGGCTGTGCTTTTTTATAATTTTTGCTCGAGTTTTCGAAAATATTTAATTTCCGCATTAACGTTGCGACACAATTTTGCATATAATAAAATGCCAATGCTAAATATTGACAGGCTTTGTGAAAGTTTTGGCTGCCAGGCACTCTTTTATACTCTTTTAGAATTCATTATTCAATGCCAATGCATTTCAATTTTGTGGCCGTGCGTCGTCGTCGACAATCGAGCGGAATAGATTTATGACAGCGACACTGCATTTTATTACACTTAAAGGAAATCTTTCTTGAAATTGGCACACGAAAAAAGTTTTGTAAAAAATAAACGTAAAATGGCAGAGGCCATGGAAAAATCATGAGAGGAAGGGGGCGAACAGGTAGCCGGACCGATAGAGAAGTTGGCGTAAGTAAGGCAGCGCCATTTATCAGCGTGACACCTTGCCGGGTGGCCAACTTGGTCCGGGATTGGATGTGGGTGCGGATCTGGAGCTGGTCCTGAGCTTGCCTTGTGGTGTGTCCTCCAGTCGAGCCATAGCTATGTATGTGGGTGTGTGGGTTTGTGCAGCATTTTTATGGCATGTGAGAAATGACGCAGAAAGTGTGACACAAAACTGTAGACAAATTGCTTGAAATGATTTCATTTCTTTTATTTATGATGCTAGCGTTTGAACTGCTCTTTAAAACCAGAAGCTGCCCGGCCATTTTTTTGTGCGTTTTTTTTAAAATTATGTTTTTATGGCATAACAAATTATTAAAAATGAATTAACTTTACAAATGGCATTTGGAATCACACATACGAATCAACTTACCCAGATCTAATTAACTTTCTTGACGTATGCCACCATATATGGAAATTCCACAGATTGTCGCCGGTAAAACCCCAGGCATGCGCTTAGCTAATGGGTTATTGTTTGTTGTGGTTTGAAATGAAGACGCCGGAAGTATTACTGATAACATTAGCTGATCTACTCACTGTCTTTTTCAATACGGTACGCAACTACAGATAGCAGGGAATTGACCAGACGGCTTATCACCACCAAAACAATGTTGACGGTAAATGAAGTTTGCTGGCGGTAATTCCAGCTTGAAGGCTTTAAAATCATTTAATGATAATTGCTAACAATCAGTTTTGATAACCTTCTATAATATATCTTCTTCATTTGCAACAGATATATGGAGACAACGTAGAGCCCATAAGTATTTGTATTCTTCATTTTTATGAAAGTGTGAAATATGTCTAAAACTAATTTTAGCAAAGATTTTCAAAATTGAGTTTGAAGCATCGGCTCGTAGACAAAAAATATGAATTAAGCCCAAGTCCGGCAATTTTTCAGAGTTGAGGGATGATATTTAAAAATTTTACCTTTGAATCCCCCTCACCTTAATTTTCACTTTGGAGGGGTCGATTTGTGAAGCATGTGAAACACGTCACACAGGATTTGCACCCATATCTTCGATAATGAGTTTTAAGCATTAAGCATAAAGATCTTTGGAAATTAGTTGAAGCGTGAACATTCACTTACCAACAAATGCACTTTATTAAATTTGCGAAACACTTCACAAATTAATTTTCACAAAGATCTTTGAAAATAAGTTTGAGGCCGATCGGAGGATAAGCAAATAAAATTAATTTTTTCGAATTTTGCCAATTCAGCCCATGTAGGTAGAGCATTATTGTGAAAGTTCAGGTTAAGGTGATCACAAGCCAGTCACTCAGTCAGAGCAAAGAGATTAAAATGTATATATGGCCTGGAGATGCCTTCCTCTAAGCCTGTCTATCGAAACAATAAACTAATCGTAATTATATCATATGTCTATCAACGCCTTTTATCTTTAAAACCTTTAAAATGTCTTCTGTTTCTTTTTATTGCTGATGCTCTAAAGTGAAAAACTACCGTCTTATCCTCACATACTTGCATGATAAATGTGTCAAATAAAAATATTGAGCCGGAATGTATTTACTTCCCTGAGGCTTACCTTGCGTATTGCTTACTTTGAAAAGTTATTTTAATTCACGTTTGCACAACAAATTTTCAATATTGCTTACACGACGTGATACAAAAATTTGTCTTTTGTAGTTTGCGTCGATTCTCTAACGTTATTTCTCGAACAATGCGCTCGGTATACTAAGCCAAAGCCAGTCAGCCGACCTCGATAAGCTGGTGAGGATTATCAGAGCAAACCGCCTGCCGTCACGCGCAATTGCTGCGTTATCAGCACAAGCTGCAATTAAAACTTAAAAGAAGATGATTAAAAAAACAGTCAATGAGTGCGGTTGACTGAATTTTAAATAATATTGAATAAAGAATTTTCCTTTTGAAGTGAGTAAATAAAAAAAGAGGAAAGCCAAATGCGAACGTTACAGAATTTGAAGTGAGCACATTTGGCAGCATAAATCAAAGAAAAGCTGGTCCTAAAAATAATAACGAACCCAAACCAAATCCATATCCATATCCACATCCTCGTCCATATCCATATGCCATGTCAGGCTGACAAAACTAAACTAAAACACAAATACATATGCATAACATGAGCGGAGCTAAAACAAATCCTCAACACAAATAACTGCCAACACATTTGCATATATCTCACAAATAACCGAAAGCAAAGCAAAATAGAAACCAAAAGCCCAAACACCAGAAACAACAACAACACACACACACACACAGGAAAAAAGAAAAACGCGTTTACAATTGTTGAAAACAGAAAAAACCGAGAAACAAAAAAAAAAAGAGTCAGGCGGCAACAAAATGCAAAACACTTCTAAAAATGAGGCATTTCCGGTCGACACACGCAACGTCACATAAAACAAGGGGTTAAAAAGAGGCGCGAAAAAGTAAAGCATAATAAACGCCGAACATAAAAATCGGCGCTGAAATCTGCTGGAAACAAGAAGCAGAACAACAAAGCTCCGAACAAAAGCCATCGCTTCAGGATGGCGAAGGGACAGGCAAAATATTTAAAGCATATGCCACACGGCTAATACAATAATATAAAAGGCAATAAAACTCGTGGCCGGATTCGTGGGACGCGGTAGGGAAGGTGCAGTGGCGGAGGCGGAGGCAGAGGCGGAGGCAGAGGCAGCAGCTGCTCCTATCAGTGTGAAGCCATCAAATTCGATTAGATGCCCGGCCTTTGGGGGGTTGGCAATAACGGAAAAAGAAACACTTGACTGTTTTGGCAGCTGCAAGAGATGAGGATGAAGCTCCCGGTCGAGCGTGAAGTTGTTGGGGGAAGGTACGAAAAGCTGTTGTCCTGCTGCCCGGATGGTAATTGTTTGTTTTGTGTTCATATTTTTTGCACATTTATCGTTTTTATAGTACCCGAAATCCTCAAAAAATGTGAGGACTGTAAAATAAGCCGACGGAACTACAGAAAATCAAATTTTTTGTATCCCTATCAGCATTCAATTTGCATATGTTTGTTAATTACAACTAATTAGAGCAGCTAAACGTCTTTAAATAAACATACAAATAATAAAAGATATTTAAAACTTTATCTAAAGAGAATATGGAATAATACCCAATGACGATGGCGACAAACATCAGAAGAGGCGAATGCGCTTTTAAGGAAATTAAAAGAGAAATTAAAGATAAGCCATTTTTTATTGAAGAAGTGCGGCCAAACATTCGCGCCCCAATCTCTCTATGAGCTTTAGCGTAAATACCAAATGAAACTTTGCACCAATAAGTTATGCCTATCAAATGGCAAACGATAAACAATCATAAGATAAATATTTAAATAGAGCTGCTCGATATGCTATATAAGCCGAAACATTCCACTAGGAGAACAGACAGTTATTCATTAACTCTTGGGCAGACAATATGACAGCCAAGGCACTATTCCCAACTTTCTTTAATGAGGAGACAAAAGTGTGGAGTGGAGTACCCAGGCGGCGACAATTCCACTACGATTGCTCCGTGGGTGAAAGAATATACACTTCATTGAAGAATTGGCCACAAAATGTCGCCCAGGTAATTGAAAGGTGACAAACAATCAACAATTGAGCTACAGCAAATGTTCTTAAACAGATCAGCGACATAGACGGACGCGTGGTGACCTTTGAAGAAGTGCAAGCCTGGGCCACGCGCCTGGCACTGTACTTCAAGAGTGAGAAACTAACCCATGAGGATGTCGTAGGCATTATTGGAAATGCCAGCGACTATGTTAGTTCCCTAACTGTGGCCTGCTTCTTCAACACGACGCCTTTCCATGCTGTGGCCTACACATATATGAAGGAACCAGAAGTTATAAGAGCATTATATGATATTACAAAGCCAAAGATTATGTTCTGCGAAAGTGTGCACTATGAGATCATGAAGGAAGTAACCAAGGAATGGAATCCCAAGTATGTAACTATGACAGGTCGTGTTGAGGGTGTGCCCAGCATTGAGGATCTGCTGAAACCACATCCCATGGAACGTTTCTACCAGTGAGTCAGACAATTTAATCAAAATTGTCACGCTATGCCAAAACTATCTCTCTTCCTTTATATTAGACCCGAGGTCTTGGCCGTTGGCGGCGATCAGACAGCAGCCATCCTATGCTCATCGGGCACATCTGGAAATCCAAAATCTGTGGCCTTATCTCATAGACACATTAACAAGACAGAAGCGTAAGTGCAAAGCTAATTTGCACATTTTTTTGGAATTTAATTAAACTGGTTCACATCCTTTACAGAATTACCAACAGCACTGATGTGTTCTTGACAAGTGCCACATTAGATTGGATGACAGGCTTTTCGTTAATGATGTTAACCTTCTTCTATGGCACCACTCAAGTCATATTTAACGAGACCTTCAATGCTGATAGCTTCATTCGGATGATCGAAAAGCACAAAGTTACCTTGATTGTGATGCCGCCATGGCAGGCCTTTGACGTGTTCACAAGTCCGTTGGCCACAAAGCAGAGTTTGTCCAGCGTGCGCATGTGTATTATTGTCGGTGGCTGGCTTTCATCGAAGATCATGCAGAAGGGCCAAGAAATTATGGAGCATTGCCATATTGTATTCTCATATGGCTCCACTGAGACGGGTTCAATCGCCTTCAACATCGATCACAGTCTTGAGAATTCTGTAGGCAGACTGCCACCAGGTGTCAACGTTAAGATCGTAGACGGGGAAGGCAACGCACTGGGACACAACCAGGTTGGCGAAATACTTATTGACGTTGGCGTCAAATGGGAGGGCTATGTGGGTAATCCTGAGGACACTGCCTCCACCCTCAAGGATGGATGGATCAATCTTGGCGATATTGGCTACTTTAATAATGATAACAATCTGTTTTTGATCGATCGTAAGAAGGATGTGCTCAAGTACAAATCAAAGGATTATTGGCCCAACGAAATAGAGCAAATTATTGCCGAACTGCCGGAGGTTCAAAGTGTTTGCGTTGTCGGTGTCAGGAACAGGGGCTACACCGATGCCGCCGGCGCCTTGGTCATCAAGAAGTCTGGCACTGACATCACCAAAGAGAAGATCATCGAGCACGTGGCCAACCGTGTTGTTGTCGAATACAAGCAACTGAACGCTGGAGTCCAGTTTGTCAATGAGTTGCCACAGAACAACAATGGAAAGGTGTTAAGAAACGTCGCAAGGAAAGTGTTTGAGTCACTTATGGAGAACCCAGAGTTTTAGATTTATTTAGCTAGTATTGTTTTCTTTTCTGTAATTTAAAATTAAAAACTTGTATGTATTCGATTTATGATTAAAAGAAATAATTCCACTTAATAATTTTGGTAAGCAATTCAATTATGTTTTAAGATGTTTAATTACCATTTAAATTGTACTATATTTCGATCACTCCCAAGAGAGATATTTATATGACATAAGCGGGCATATTCCGGCCTTGTCCGTGGCAAGTTATGCCTTTAAAATTGTAGAAACCAAAAGTTTGAATCAAGGTTTCCTGCTATTTTTATTGTGGTGAAAATTTTGATGCCGAAAATAAGCTTTCCTTCATTTAACCTTTAGTATACATTTTCCATCCAAATCATGTGGATTTATAAAAAGATGATTTTGAAACAAAAAAGTTGCATATTTTACGTTGGTGCTTACAGGTCTTCATGTAGAGCTTTGAAAATAAGTAAGTTACAAATCAGACAAAACTTAAATCTTCACCCAAAATATCTTTGTGTCGCATTTTCCGCAGAGGAAACTTAGATTCTGCGAAAGGTCTTTTGATATTAATTTTAACGCGAATCTATACCCACCAAATCTACGATCCCCATTTATACTAAGAACAAATGGAATGGAACTCTAAAACACTCCTCAATTAAATTTGAACAAATTTGTTTGAAAATGATTTTGTGGATAGATAAGTCAAGTTTCCCCAAGATATATTGAAAGACTAAAGAGCTTTTCACATAAGAACTGCATTTTTGATCGATCATTTTCACAGAACCTAAATACTGTTCCGGTCCGATCTGGCGAATTTCTACATATGGGCTGTCTGCAAAAAAAAGACAAACCTATATATATATGCACTTTATTGGATCGGAGTCGTCACCTTTTATGTGTTATACATAAACAATGTTATAAAAACACGGTTTAAGTCATGCATCTTGTGGTAAACCTATTCTTAGTTCCATAAATTGGAACATGGTCCCCCTATCTTATTTGTTACTCGCCAACATCGCTCCCCTACTTTATTCATTATGCCAGAAATTCGTTTCCCCTTATCTAAAAGTGTTACCGTAACAAGGAGATTCCCAGTCCTTATCTAATAATTAGTCAGCGAATCTTGGTTCAATGTTCAGTTGATTAAGTCATAGCATGCCGTCAATTACTGAAGAGTTTTCCCATTTGCCTCATTTAAATACCCAATAATTAAATTTGATAAGCGAGTTTGGAATTTACTAGATATTTTAAATTAACATATATGGATTTTTCTGCTCGTCATTCCATGTGATAATGTTATCGAATTTCGCACGCGCTTTGACTCATGGTAATTCCGTCAAGTTCATGGCACAAATAAAAATATGAAGTGTCACAAATAGCTACACATCAGGTGATATGGAATAAGGAAGTTGGTTTTCTATAACACGACTTATTAATGAATGAAAAGATATTTACAGAAATAAATTATCTTTACTCTTCACATTTTCGCGTCTTAACGACTTTGCATTGCATACGTTGCTTATTTGAAAGTATTATATAAAACCTACTTTTCCATAAATATGATCATGATCAGCTCCAGTCTTTCTGCTTCTGTGTAAGCTGTGGAAGAGTATACTTATGTTCACCCAGCTGGGCATAAGTTTAAATCAGCATTTCTTAATTTAAAGATTCTTAATTAAAACATTAGAATTATAGTTTTTAGGTTCAGATTGTTCGTTGGTCACCTATATGATATAAATTGTTTCAAAACTCTCCCTCCCCCCTTTGTTTCGTTAGACTCTCTCAAAATTTGGCATATTGACGCTGTCATGTGAATACGTTAGATTTCATTCTCACATTTAAGATATGTATGAAAATTCATAACAACTTGAATGATAAACATTAAATATCATGTCACTGTCGAAGAAAGTTCGGCTTTTAGGAGTAAGATGATATGGATAACTGTGACCCTGACCCCTCACGCCTTGCGCACGTCACCCCAGGGTCATAGTCGTATATGGCAACCCGACCCCACCATTAACACTTTAAGTGCAAGCCTCTCGGGTCTACTTGGCAGGCTGAGTTAACCAGACCCAATCCAAGGCAAAGTAAACAGGACGGGGCCACTCGGGCGCACTCGGGTTGTTGGCCAGACAATTTTACCTACTTTATGTTTATTTATTTGCATATTTTTCAACTTAAAGACGACAATGTGGGGAGAATAGAAGCAGCACTAGGACCAGGACTATTGTGCCGCACACAAAAGCCATGCCAGCCAGGACAATGACAATAGTCGAAGCAGAAGCAGGAGTCGCAGCTGGAGCCGCAGACGCAGCCAGCATGCATTGTGCCGCTATTTTATAATTGACAATAATACATAAAAGATATGTATAGAAAAAAGCAAAAAGCATAATAATGGTAAGTAATACATTAGCCAGACATAAGCCAGCCCCCCATTCACCCCCTAAAACGCCGCGGCTAAGACAATCCCTGGGGCTGTCCACTGCGGACACTGACAATGCATTTGTGTGCCCGTGAAAAAGGTCACGTCTTATCTATTTACCTAAACAATTTGCTTAAAATGTTTACAACATAAGCAACATCATCATCAGCATCGGGCGCGTGGCAGGCGTAGGTTATCGTGTGCATGTGGCCAGGTTTGGGTTCAGGTTCGGGCCGGGCTAGTGCCATCTATTTACCTTAAGTAGTCATACGGCCATTGCTTTTTTCTTATTTTCATTTTTTGTTTTTTTTTTTGTAGATGCCTTACTATGATACAAGTGTGGGAGGCGGGCAAAATGCTCGACCAACATTAGAGCGCAATAGCCAGGGGAATTGTTTTATAAGCTATGAATAACAGGCCCAAAAAGAAAGTGAAACGACATCGAGACAGGAGAGCAAAAACCAGAAAAGCTTTCAAACAAATTCTAAAACTCGAACTTCAAATACTCTATATAATTTCGGTTGCATGCTGAATGATGCATGCAAGGCAATGTATTTGAAAACAAGAAAAACGTATGTACATTTCATAACAAAGATTAGAATATGAACAAGAAAAATGAAACTCCTTAGTCTGTCCCTAAGAAAGTATAATCTATCTCTTTGATAGGGCATGTCAAACCCTTAAGACATGCAAAGGAGCCCGAGTTCAGTTTCAATAAAAGTGAACTGTGACAGCAAAACGAAATATGGCAAGGCACACACCCTGGCTCTGCGGCTTGTGGCTGCCACATGCTGCCGACCCAACCGAATGCGACTGTTGCCTCTCGTATTCCATTTTAAGGCTCGCCCAACTTTGAAGTTTCGGTAAGAATGTGCGTCACTGTTAAAAGGTCGCACACTGCGTCTCTGAAACTGTTCGCATTTTTTTTTTTTTTGTCCAACAGCATTTCCACATTTACGAATTTCCTCGCTTTTCTTTTGCGCCATCTCCATCTTCGTGCGCTGAGCTGCGGCACGCGTTGCCTCTGCCTCGAAGGGCTTAGGCACGGTCCTGACTTGATTATTGGTTCGTCGCATCAGTCTTTCCAATCAACATCATCTATCAGCATTAAACTCAAAGTAAGGGCACAACCCACGACCGTTGGAAATGGTCGTGAAACAAAAGAAAGGAACTTCCTTCTGTTGGGGATCCCAAAAACAAATGTAATGCCTTTAATTTATTTGTTGGCAATTTTCTAATCATAGTCTGGAACACGCGTCTTCCTTTAAGATAAACAAATGTTGTTGAAATTTTTCATCGCGTTAATTGTATAAATATAGGCAAAGTTTTTATGGTCGGCAGTCTGCAGCTTTCAACAAGCAACCCTCAGTTCCGGCAAGAGCACAATGTTTGTAATTGAAGGCTGCTTGTGCGATGGCGGGTGCGACGGCTGAGGGGCATGTTACATTTTATGAGCAACGGCTATGGCACAAAAGTGACTTATCTTGTTACTAAGGCAAAGTTCCATGCCCTGCCAACAACATCACGTGAATGTCCTATTAGCCCCGGCGATGCTATAGCTATAGCTCAGACATCAAATAAAATGAACGGTTCAGGACTCGCAGACGTCTCAAATCAAAAATGTTAACAATGTACACTTAAGCCAAAAAATGCCTAAAACATTCTTTTCGTGGTAGTTAAGAATTTCAGATAAACCCATTTAATATTCTCATATACTTATCTCTACAAGAAAACAGGTTTTAAGTGATTGCAATATTTTACCAGGAAATTCGAGCTTTCACTTAATACAATCTTAGCCGATTCTGAGCTTTAATATAAATTTTGATCTATAAAAGAAACTCTAAGTTAGTTTTATCCCAGTTTCAGGTATCATAATAACTTTAAATCCTCTGCAATCACATTTTTGAACAGGATTTCAAAAAAAGCTTGCCCTTTCGCCTGGAAGACAGTCGCCAATAGGGTCCAGCTCTATCTGCATTAAAATTCAAGCACTTAAACAGAAACTAAACTAGGAATGCACTAATGCATATAGGCGTTGGCGAAAGGTACCCCCTCTCTGCCCTTGACCTTCACAATTAATCCCCCAGACAGAACTGATGGGTTTGGAAGTTTGCAAATGGCACAATGGCCACTGAGAAGCATTGAAGCGCATAATTAGCTTGATGAATGAAAGCCAGAAGCAAAAGCAGGGAGGTTCATGTGCAAAAAATTAAAAAAACAAAAAATAAAATGGAAAGTACAGTGGCAAAAAAAAGGAAAAAATAAACTTAAGTTCCGGCAGCAACGATGGTGGCTGAAAACGAACTGAAAGTCAGCTGCCAGCGGCGCTGAATTTTCCACAATTTTCTTGTTTTGCCTAATTGAAGATTTGCACTCGAAATGATTTTAACGCTGCGATAATGCCCGCCCCCAAATAACCAATGAGGCTAAGAGGCGGGTAGGCGGGAAAGTAAATACATACATACCTAAACAAACTTTGCAAGCAGAGGCAGTCGCTCACTTAAATGACTCGGTCCGAAATTAATGCATAAAATTCCATCAGAGACAGCAATAAAAAGTGTAAAATTGATTTGCATAATGAAAATTTGTTGGAGCCATTTTGGAGATCGCGGGCAAGGCTCAGGCTCCGGCAGCTTTTCCGGCAGCCAATTGGCCCAAATTGCTTGTTGCTAGTTAGTTTTCGATGTCGACT